CAAAAAAAGTGCACGATAAACGAAAGTTTTCAAATCTCTAATGGTCCAAGAAGAATGATCTTAGACGTCTTCAACAAAAAAAATGATTGGCATAGAGGGGTGTGTTTCTTGTTAGATTCGACTCCAATTAGATTTGATATTTGTTTCTTTCAGTGATTGTATAGAGGTTTGGGCGGATCGCCATGCGTTTCCCGTCGGTAACGGAGAATTATTTTCAGAGAGTTTCCATTAAATCAGGTTTCTTTACTGAGATCACCCCAGTTTCGTCCCAACGCTGTAACAACAGAAAAACCTGGGGACCCTACACATCAGCACTCACTTTGATACAAGCTTTTTAATAATCGCTTTACGGTAAACAATGTAATATGGTTGGATCTACTTAAAACAGCACACAGTAAACAGTAGTGATGGCTTATTTCTTTTACGAACCATGCTCTTTCAGAATGTGCAGAGATCATGGCACTCCACTACTTTCTTATGTTGCTCTAACTTTTGATATTTATTTATATTTCTCTTTGTCGATGCAATCCATTCCCACAAACTCATTATATTACTCATTATTTCCCCTAGATTCTCTTGCCTTCAGTAACTCTTGTGAGTATTAAATTTCCTTGGCTGTCTTTCCTTATTCAGTATCCCAGAAATTTAAACTGTTTCTTTATAATTGTATGTAACAGTATACGTTTAGTTTCTTTTTTCTTTAAGGCTTCCCCATTCTTACTGACATCTCCAATATGTACCTCAAAAGCCACCTCTTTTGCTAACGACTATGAGTTATTTGTAATAGTAACTATTGGATTAAAGATTACCTCAGCATGTGCCAGCATAACTTCAAAAAAGCCAATTTCAAAATTTACACCAGTGAGCTCATACAGCCATCTCCAAACATCGTATTATTAATTGTTAATGTGCTTTCACCTAACACGATGTTCCGTATTGTATGGTGAACTGTTCGCATTCTTCTGAAAGTTTTGAAGACTATTTTTATATAATGTGGACAATTCTCTTTCATGTGGTCTCGCACATTTGAACGGATTGCTATTGCTCTCTTTTGTCATTGTGCATTATATTCGGTAGGTCAGAGGGATTGCTGTTTATGTCATCGCAAATCTGCTGAATGTAGGTCTTGACTGTTCGTCCTCTGTTACCTCTTCCTCGTGTGGGCTCCCACAAAAGAACTTCACTAACAATTTTGTCTTTCGCTCTTCAGCAATGCCCTTTGAATCTAACTTTACGCTGTTTGACGATGTCTGAAAGTGGACGAAGGTTCCCATGTAATCGCTCATTGCTCAAACGTACCCTCCAAGTAACATTCTCGTCCTGGGTAAGACATTAACCTACATCCGCGTCCTGTGTAAGAAGTTAAACTACATCCGCGTCCTGGGTAAGACGTTAAACTACATACAGTCCTAGGTAAAACGTTAAACTACATCCGCGTCCTGGTAGCAAGACCTCTGTTCAGGAAGTTATGAGGAGCGTGGAATCACCTCGTAATTGCTGCTGCTCTCAGGTCCACCCTGACCCGGGGTGGTAGCATATGTTAGGGTCACAGCTATGGGCAAATAGTTAACTATTACCAGCAATACTTTTTTGAAAAAAATTATTGCCAGCAATACAATTTTGAAGAAAAAATATTAGCATTATTATTTGACAAAACAAAATATTACCAGCAATAAAAATTTTGTCAGCATTAAATAACTCATTGAGGTTGATATCCCGTAAAACAAAATAAATAGACCAAATAATCCAAGCCACTCTTAGCCTGTAGATTTCAATCTTCCAGTTTTGAACTAAAGGTCTATGCTGAGTAGCCATACATTAGAACATAGGTAACAGTTGCTTGAAAGAAGTTCCTTTTCATGTTGTGAGGAAGAGCTAGATTTCCACACGAGAGATAAATTGTCGACGGCACACAGGTTTTACACAGGTGTATGTTTACATCTCTTTCGCAGCTAGAGATTTTACGACGTAAAATAAGTAAATTCTTCTTATAAGTGTATTCTTCTGTACAGCTGAGAGGTGTGCGAGGTAATTTTAGATTGTTCCATTTTTATTTAAGCTTATACATTCTGTTTTCACTGAATTTTCATGAACGCCGATAACTTTGATTGAATGTTCAAGACCATGGAGAAGGTCTTTTGCTTGGTTTATTATCACTGCGAGTAACGCTAAAAACTCAGCATATTCTTCATCTTTGATTTTTATGGCAAGATATCTATTATTCCTGACTTGATGTAGTGATAATCCACTGTCTTTCTTTACGTAAACAAAATAATGCTTGTTGGGTATCAATAGAATAAACATTCTAACTATATATCTGTCTATATTTCTGAGATGAGGTATTGTAATTGTTTACATTGTTCAGGCTGTTGTCTTCATCTTTATTGCAATATCCACGTTTTGACCGTTGTAGGCTCCGGACATCTTCATGTAATTGGAATTTAAAACTGGACACTATATTTCGTCCATTATGATATATTGTTCAAGGACACAGGACAATGTGATAAAAGTTGATAAAAGCGTTGGTTGGATCTAGTGGCTTGACTCAAAGAGTTGTGAGTTCAATACCCGCCTATTGCAGTGGTGAACAAAAACTTGTAGAGTTGATTTAAAGGGGGACAACTGAGACATCCGGAAGAGGCATGGCACGTGGAATCTACTGGGGGACAAAATAAATCAACTATTAAAAATTCTGACAATAACATACACACACACACCCACACACACACATATATATATATATATATATATATATATATATATATATATTGTTAAATATGACAGACAATGAATGTCTATTATGTTTGACCATGCACTATGCTTTATTTTGCATAATTTTGCTGAATCCAGTTTCTGCAAAATTATGGAAAATAAAGCATAATATATATTTTTGATTACATTACAACCAAAAACGTTTGCGGTTTCTCTATTCTTTGGAATATATATATATATATATATATATATATATATATATATATATATATATATATCGTGTATTGGGGCAACAGATCCTTATTCAAACATATATTGTTAAATATAACAGACTACGAATCTATTATGTTTGACCATGAGCCGTTCTAAATTCCGTATAGTTGCTTTAATTTCGAGAGAAAATAAAGACAAAAATTGTCCAACATTTGGATATTTTTTCATTAAGCTGGTCCTTGATCTAAACTTTCGGCTCACATGAGCCATCTTCAGATTGGTTATGTGAATAATTAAACAATGATATTCACCACAAGATGATATTCTATTATGTTGACATAGAAGATTTCTACGCGATGATAACGGTCGCGGAATAGAAGACGCAGTTCCTAAATTATGATGCGGTTCTATGACACCATACCACGTGAGAGAGCGAAATATTTACAACAGAACAATATGTCTAGATGCATTGTAATGTGTTGTGACTAATTTGAAATGTAATTTTGTTGAGTGTGGGTTGCTTTGGCTGTAGATGCCCTCCAATATCCAAATTAAAAGATAAGAATGCCAATAACTACTTCACCATTTCCCGGAGGAATCTTAATTGTTTTATAACCCTTCACGCAGAACTTTTTACTGCCAGTTCAAGAAAGACATTTGGGTCACTAACACACAAAAAAGAGAATGTCTCATATCGAGAATATTTAACATCGAAAAAATAAAGAAAAATTAATTATTTTTAATATGTGTAAATCTCCCCCACTTTGCCTGATGACGGTCATGAAACCGGAAACGCGTGTAACAAACTTATGGAAAATAAAGCATAATATATATATATATATATATATATATATATATATATATATATATATATATTTAAATCCACATTACAACCAAAAACAGTAAAAACTTTTTAATAACCTCTTCCTTTTTTATATATATATGAAGAAATATAGTTTTAAGGTGTGCTATATTTATGGGATAAAGTGCTCAATATCAGAGCGTATGTAAATATAAAAGTTAACATTGAAGTCAATACTCAGAGACCTGACTATTGCGTCTAGCATGGAACAGCCTGTCGCCTCTGAGTGTTGATTTCAATACATTTGTGTGAATGGATGATAGCAGAGACAAAGAATGATAGTAAATTAATGTTGACTAGAGCTACATAAAAAAAAGGAAATCGTTGTTGGCCATGATAACTTAAGACCCAAAAGGACATTAGAGACTGAAGTAGAAGACATGTCTGTCTGTTTTGTTGACCCAGATTTTGAACTTGGTAAATAATTTCAGATGAATTATTTCGACACTGTTCTTAAGATCCTATCAACCACTACAAATTAATTACTACAAACTCAACCACCTTTTTAAACTATTGATCAATAATTAACAGTCGATACCTTTGCCTGAATGTGTTTGCCGTTCGGATGTCTTTATTCAAATTTTGTTTGCGTACGCATACACGTTCTATTGAATTGTCTGTATTCAAAGATGGTGTTGCGAATTTATTCGTTGTTCTTTGCGAATGAGTCGTATTTGTGTGTGTTTTGGATCGCGACAAGGAAAGAATGATTTATTGAAAGTGAATATGTACATCTGTGTAAGAGACAGAAAAGAGAATGTGTTAGCGCGCATGCGCGTCAGTAAGACCCAGCATGGCTCCGCAGGTATACGTTAGGGCATGTTATTATATAGTGCAAGGGTGTCTTCGTTTTTGTCATGGTGGCTGAGCTGGGAGTGTCTCATGAAGAGCAAAGATCAAAAGATAACAGATGACAGACGAGGCAAGATATATATATATATATATATATATATATATATATATATATATATATATATATATATATATATATATGTAGGAAAAAACAGATCAGTATGAACATAATAAAAGGGCATTGCTTTCTAGTTTGAGATAAAGATCACTAGCGAAAGTAAAATGCGATGACGCCATCGGCGCACAAAGACTAGGAAGGGGAGGTAAGAGAAGAATAGAGAGAGATGTGAGAAGGAAATAGATAAGAATGAGGGAGGGGGGAAAAGAAAGGCATTAGAAGGAAATAGAGAAAAGCGAAAAGTTAGGAAACATGACAAGAAAGAAAGAAAGAAAAATAAATAAAAATAAAATAAAGCAAATGAAGAGAAAAAAGTAAAAGAAAGAAAGAAGAAAGAAAGAAACATATAATGGAAAAGGAAGTAAGTATGTGATAAAGAAAGAAAGAAAGAAAGAAAGAAAGAAAGAAAGAAAGAAAGAAATAGAAACAAACAAACAAACAAAAAGAAACAAAGAACAAAAAAGCCGGAGAGAAGGCAAGAAAGAAAAAGTAGCAATAGAGAAACAATGAGAGAGAAGAATTGGAGGATAATAGAAAGATAAAAAAATATATGGTGAGGAGATGGTAATTGAAAAGAAAGAAAGAAAGAAAGAAAGAAAGAAAGAAAGAAAGAAAGAAAGAAAATAAACAAAGCAAATGAAAAACAAGAAAGTAGAAAAGAAAGAAAGACACACAGAAAGAGAGAAACAAACAAAAGTTATAATGGCAAAGGAGTGAAGAAAGAAAGAAAGAAAGAAAGAAAGAAAGAAAGAAAAAAAAAGAAAAGAAAAGAAAGAAAGAAAGACGAGCGATGGAGAAGCAATGAAGAAGAAGAAAAAAATAGATTATGAAGAGAAGGTAATTCAAAATAAATAAAGAAAGAAAGAAAAGATATAATGGCAAAGGAGAAAGAAAGAAAGAAAGAAAGAAAGAAAGAAAGAAAGACGAGCGATAGGGAAGCAATGAGAAGAAATGGCAGAACATGGAAATAAAAAGGTCAAATGGCAAAAAGCATGACTAAAAAAGAAATAGAGGGTGAAGAGATGGCAAGTCAAAAGAAAGAAAGAAACAAAGTAAAAGAGCAAGAGAAAAGAGATATAGAGAGAGAAGGGAGTAGGAAAAGTAGAAAGAGAGTAAATGTGAGATAGAATTTGAAAACAAAAGTTCGAATTCCAGTCGGGTTCATTAGATTCACTTACGAACAAATACGGTTTCATTTCTTCTCACCCCCTCCATCTATGTGTTGAATAGCAAGAGAGACTGGGTCCTATAGCCTTGGTTGTCAACCAGTCTACTGCAGAAAAAAACGAAAACCTATTACAGTCAGTCATTAATCGAAAGAGATCTGATCGTCCAAGCGTGTATCATGTATGACACTTAACTGACTGATAGATTGTTAACTTTTAATTCATGATTATATATATATATATATATATATGTGTGTGTGTGTGTGTGTGTGTGTGTGTGTGTGTGTGTGTGTGTGTGTGTTGAAACGTATTGGGTTTTGGGCGGGAAATGCTTCTTGGTCGAAAGAGGAGCTTCCCTCATTGTCTCCCCTTCCTCTGTGTGTGTATGCGTGCGTGTGTATGTGTGTGCCTTGTGTTTGCGTGTAATAGTTTTCTGAGTGCTCAAAAATGACACACTGATCCTAATTAGACGGATGCGAGCGGCACTTATCCCTCGACAGAAATGCTGTTCCATACGTTATTTATCTGTCTATTTTTTTACTGGTTTATGTTAGTATCGACACGCATACACACACTCGCATATATATATATATATATATATATATATATATATATATATATATATATATATGTGTGTGTGTGTTTGTGTGTGTGTGTGTGTAATTATATATATGCTAGTACCTCCGTTTATGTTGCTAAAAGTAAACAAATGTTAATTTTTACATCTTGTGCCCGACGAGCTGGTAATCCAGCGAAACTTAAGTCGTACACCAAAGCGTAGGTACACATATATGTACTAATTAATATATGTCTTATATAACCATATCTAGCAATATTATGTTTACATCTTCATGTATAAATTTGATTATTATTTATTTGCTTGCTCGCGTATGCACACCAGCACGCGTATATGCTTGTGTCTATGTGTATATACGTATATATATACATATATATATACATATATATATATATATATATATATATATATATATATATATATATATATATATATATATATATATATATATATATATATATATTTGGATAGATATCCAACCAAATATGTTAGCTCTATCTCTGATATTGAGCGCTTTCTAATAAGTACATTTCATATGCATATAATATATAAATAATTATATATATATATTTATTTATATTTATATACACTTTTAATATATATATATATATATATATATATATATATATATATATATATATATATATATATATATATATATATATATATATATATATATATATATATATATATATATAATATGGATATTGAGTTCTACCTGATTCTATCCTCTTGGAAATTTTTTACAAATATATATATATGTGTATGTATGTATGTATATATATATATATATAAATATATATATTTATATATTTTGAATATATGATTGCATATATATGTGTATATTTACCACTAATATTATCTATCTATTCATCTATCTATCTATCCATCTATATACTATATATATATATATATATATATATATATATATATATATATATATATATATAGGCCTGTGTATAATAAAAATAGATATATAGCACCTATACTTGCACATACATATAAATATTTTTCTTCCTCAGGTGTTATAAATAAAGTGGTCAACGTTATGTAAGGTTTCTATTAATTTTATATTAGTGAATATATATAATCTCCAACGTCGATAGCACGACTCGGATTTTCATGTGATCTTGCCATCTTCGGGTGCTCTGAAGATGGCAAGATCGAATCAAACTCCAAGAAGGGAGACTGACAGAGTGAGAGAGAGAGAGAGAGAGCGACATAATGAAAGAGAAGGAAAAGGTGAATAGTAAAAATCTGTAAAATGTTTTGAAAGTGAGAATGTATAAGAAATAGAATGGATTCGGAAACCAAAGCAAGAAAAATAGGAAAATGTCTAAAGAGAGAACAAAGGAGAGAAAGGAATTGAGAGGCAAATGTTTAGCTTAGTCTGGCACTAGACAATCAAATTCCCTACGCTAACAAATTGACCTGCTAGAAACACGCACACACAAACACACAGAATCACACGCACACACACACACACACACACACACACACACACACACACACATATATATATATATATATATATATATATATATATATGTATATGCATCTGTCCTTTCCTTCAATTTCTTTCTCATACTTCTTTATTTTTTTTCAGTCTCAACACTCACTATTCTCTGTCTGCCTTGATCTATCTCAGTCTATCTATCTATCTCAGTCTGTTTCTATCTATCTATCTATCTATCTCAGTCTATTTCTAAATATCTCTCTATCTATCTATCTCTCTATCTATCTATCTATCTATGTATCTATCGATCCATCGAAATATATATATGAACAGACTGAGATAGATAGTTAAATAGACAGATATGAACAGATTTAGATAGATAAAAGCAGTTTTTTCTTTCTCTAATTTTCTATAATATATTTTATCTATATAAATATATACCTACATGCATATATATTTTTTCTCATATATATATATTTTCTCATTTACAGTGTAACCCGGATATAAGAGAGTTGTCGGGACTGGAGAAGAAGTCTCTTATATCCGGATTTCTCTTATATCCGGGTTTGGTCTATTTATTTATTCAGTGTTATCATTTTCCAAGAAAAAAAGGAAGAAGTTACCATCTTCCTTTTTTTTTTGAAAAATGATAACACTGAATAAATAAAAAATGAAAATGAAAGAAAGGAAAAAAGAACGAAAGAAAAAGAAATGTTAATCCAGGTAAAAGAAACAGTATGAGAAAGTCATTTTTAACACTTAAAGAAAGAAAGAAAGAAAGAAAGAACGAACGAAAGAAAGAAAAATATTAAGTCCAAATATTTTTATGATGGAAAGAAAAAAATACTAATTCCGGACAGAAAGAAAGAAAAAAGAAAGGAACAAAGAACACTGAAGAGAATAAAGAAATAGGTAAAAATGAAAAGAAAAAAAGAAAACTAAAAGAAAGAAAAAAGAGAAAGATAAAAGAGAAAGATAAAGAAACCTTAATTCTGGTAAAAGAAAGACTGTAAAATAGTAATTCCTTAACGAAGAAAAAAATGAAAGAAAGAAAGAAAGAAAGAAAGAAAGAAAGAAAGAAAGAAAGAAAGAAAGAAAGAGAAATATTAAGTCAGAATATTTTTATGAATGGAAAGAAAAAATACTAAGTCCGAAAAGAAAGAAAGAAAGAAAGAAAGGTGAGTACTGTAGAGTAATAGAAAGAGGAAAGAAATAGAGAATATAAGGAACTCGAGACAATCTTTAGCAGCTGATAAAAATCAGAATAATTCATAGAATTATCGGGGCGTGAGATTTCGGAGTGAAGCATTGAATTGATATCTTATCTATTTGAAATCGTAGCGTAGCGAATATCAGGCAACAATTCTTTCGACAAATGTTTGTTTTGTATTTAGTTTGTTCGCTTTCTTCTCGCATTCTGTTTGTTATTTATTGTTTATTTTGTTTCTTGGGTGACAGATCGCAAACGATAAGACAACGGAAGGTACGTGCAGGAGACCGTGAATTCAGTGACAATGACCGTCATTCCAACACAAAACCTTGCCCAAGGAGACCCGCAAGAAAAAAAAAACGAAATTCTTATGACTGCGGTTTTGATTCAATGGTTAATGCTTATAAAATCGAGATTAACGAAAGTCTGTTCAATTTATAACGAATGAAACCGAAACCTAACGATTAATTTTACTGTCTGTCCGTCACAAGATTGAAGTGACGTCAGCGAAGTGAAGTCATGTAAGTAAAAAGATAAATATTTTAATCCTTAATCCTTGTCGTCTCCCAAAAGAGGAAGATGGATTTTAATGGATTATAATTGTTCTAATCGACTTATTAATTTTATAATTTTTAGAAACTTATAATTAGTGACATTCTTTTATATATAAAATTAGTTATAGATTAATAACTAATTTCTCATTACTTGCATTATTTACATTATTCGGACTGTTACCCTCATCTTCATTGCCATATTCATAACGTTTCGGCTGCTGTACGCACCGTCCTTCTTCAGGTGATTGGAATTTCGAACCGAACCATTCATTTATTTCGCCGGGGTAGATTGCTCTAGTTCCGCGTGCCATGCCTCTTCCGGATGTCTTAGTTATTTCCCTTTAACTCAACTCTCCAAGTTCAGTTAACCACTGCTGTGGCCTGGTATTGAACTCACAACTCTTTGGGTCTAGTCACTGGATCTAACCAATGTCTTTATCCACTGGATCATGTATCGTTGAACTAGATCAATCTACCCCGGTGGACGACATAAAGGGTTCGTTGCGTGATATGTCCCGGAAAGGGATATATATTGTTCGTAGAAGCAAAGTGGTTTTGGACTACTTGTAACCGAGAAGGACAATCTAGCGGGTAACAGAAACGTTGTGAATATGACAATGAAGATGAGGATAACAGTCCGAATAATGTCAATAAGGCAAGATAGATAGCTAGAGAGAGAGAGAGAGAGAGAGAGAGAGAGAGAGAGAAAATAGAGAAGGAGATAGGAAAATGACAAAATATGCGGAAGTCATCAGTTATCTCCTGTTAATTGCCCTCTGAAAGTTCTCCACAGCCTTAACCGGGTTTTTGAACATCATAGTCTTTGGGTCCTGTCACTGGATCTAACTAACGTCTTTATCCACTAAGCCATGTGTCCTTGAGGAAATATAGACATATAACTAATTTAAACCGTCGATCATTAATTATAAAAACCAAAATAAAAATCTGATAATAATTTCTAAAATAAATAATATCAGATTTTTACTTTTTATAATTAATG